GTGGTACAAGTTTCTTGTGCAGTAAGGGCCAACCTTTTTGGCAGGTGTGCCACAAATTAGCCCTCCACCCTCCACCAGTGCTGCTCTGATCCCTTCCCCTTACATGATCTGCTGCTCATCTGTCTGTTGCATGTTCTGTACTCCCTGACCAAGCTGCTGCTCTACTTTCTGCATCCTGCTGTGTCACTGTGCTAGCTTTCCCCTCCCAGATCTGCTGCATGCCACACAGGAGACACAAGTGGCATAGACAGCGGGTTGGCCAACCCTGGACTGGGTCATGTCTACACCACCCCTGCCAAGTCTGCCACTTCTCTATATGCACCAAATCCCAGATGTGAAGCAACATAGCCATGTTAATGCTGTGCTTATGCTCCCTGGGGCATTACTCAGGGGTCACTCTAAGGCAGCCACATTGTTTTATCCCTGGGATTTGGTGGCGTACAAGTACAGACTTGTGCACTGCTACTTTTGGGAGCAAGCTCTGAAGGCCCTTTAGCTACTCAGCTTTGTGAGTGCTAGTCCTAGTAATCACTTGGGAATGGGGTATTTCCTGGCTTGCCCTGCTGTTGCTACTGCTGCTTCTCCTGCTGCTCCCAAAGGGTAGGCAATGTCCTAAGTCATGGTCTCTTCACACAGTTTATGTACCAATCCTTTTACTGGTCCCAGAAAGAGGAAAAGCAACTTGGCAAGTAACTTCCAACCTCAGGAAGTGAAATTAGCTAAATGTTGAAAACAAGATAGGGAGAAGGAACCTTGTATGGGTACGTGAGGGAGATTCAGCTGACCAATAAAGGAAAGGAAGTAGCGGGGCACAGAGAATACAGAAAAAAGTTGAGATAACTGAAGCAGAGGATGGGTTCAGGTCACAGGATGAAGCAGAGCCATTCAGCCGAGGTGAGGATGTCTAGTTAGAACTTCAGAAAACTGATATACTTCTTCAGACTGGTGCCTGTTTTAGCTGCTTCTCTGCAGCTGTCTTTGGCACTTGGCAGCTTCTTTCCCCGGGGCACCATGGGGAAGATATCATGCAGGGCCTATGCCCACATAAATTGAGCTGATGCCAGGTTGAAAGCCTGGCCTGGGCTGAGCTCTGTTTTAGACCGTCTTTACAGTGCTGCAGTTCCTTACTTAAGCTGTTTCTGCAGTTGCTTCAGTCTGGGAGCAAACTGATAAGCCTGTTGTCAGCACTTGGCAAATTAATGGATGAAAATAAGGCATTTACTCTGATGAGAATACAAAATACATGTATGGGCAAACTTTCAAAAGTTCACAGCTCCTGTGGTTCTGCATGAAGGCTGTTGAAAGGCACTTCCATCAGCAATATTTAGTGAAGTTAAGTTTGAGTTGTGCAAGTAGGACCTTGATTTCAAGTACCCCAGGGTTCGGTGTCCAGATCCATGGGGCTACTAGTCCATGCAGAGTTCTGTGATACTGTTGCTAGATTGCTCCCAGCATCTGAACTGGCCCACTCAAGGTGTACCAGCAATCACCGGACCTTCAGCTGAGGTCATATTTTGTGTTGAAAGAATTGTGGGGTTATCATGCAACAGTAAGCATCCCCCACCCCATCCTTGATTTCCATTCAGAGCAGGAGAGAGGAGTGATCCATACTAAATCCAGGCTTTTAATTCTGTACAGCAAAGAAAGGTAGGAACTGCTCAGAAGTTTTATGAGAACTTGTATTCATAAATACATAATTATAGCACTGCAAGCATTCAACACTGTTCATAACTCTCAGCACATCAGAGCACAAGAGAGGTGGGTGTATTACAGAATGAACATAAATCTAATGCAGTTCTGAGTGAGCTTGCATTTAGCTGTAAATGGCCATTGTAATGTTTCATGGTTCAGTTGTGAAATTATGCCAACAGTTGATATGCCCCTGTTTTACGTGAAGCATTAAGTTATGCTTCAATCCAAAAGAAAATGTAAACATGAACCAAGTTTTAAACACAAGAGATATTTCAAATACCATGGTGGTGAGTATGGCCTAAATGTCTGCACAGAAAAGTGTATGAGATGTAAACAGAAGACAGAAAACATAAAGGGGTGGGAAGGGAGAGAGCAGGCTGTACATAGCTGGGTCATCAATCACTATAAAATCAAGTGCTATTACAATGTAAATCTTGCCTTTCTCTCTGCCTACACTGACCCATATCAGAATTAATGTGTTGCAAGGACTAGTAGGTTTGCACCAAGATGGTAGCTGGGGTTAGGGCACTTATATGAAGTAAATGAACATCTCAGAATTTAATCCTATGCTAAACACAGATGGAAAAAGAAAATCTATTTTCCCTTTGGGGTTCTGGAAGCTTGCACATTGCCATGTTTGCAGTCCGGTAAGTGTAACAACGTGTGACTCCTTTCCACACAGCTTGAATCCCTAGAATTTCTCTTGTGTTGGCAATATGAATACCCCTTGAGTTCTAGTTCCCTCCCCCAAAAATCTTCCTCCTCCCAAACATTAATTGTTGCAGTTTTTGTAAACAGAATGCAAAACTATATTTTTGAATGAACACTACAAATAAAAGTAGGCTAAGAGGCAATGTAAGGTCACGTGTAAACCTGTTGTTAAGCAGAGATAGGTCACGTCAAAAGCAGGGGAAAAACTGAAGCTCTTGTCTTGACAACTCTGGCCATCAGATGCCTCAGAGGAATCATGGGATTGTCTTACTTCCAGAGCAGGCCCTTGGGTACCAGGCCCTAGTACAGTAGAACTACAATTCTTTGTACTGTTAAATGCCAGCCTCCTCATGTGAAGATGAGCATTGGCAAACTTATGGATTTATGTAGTTACATGGGACCTCAGAGGTGTGCTGACTGTTCACTGTAGCTATTATTTCAGAGTGCCACTTCTCCAATCAGCTGTCAGACTGATTGATGATTAGGTTGTATGGGATGGTTTGGATAGGGATGATCCTGCCTCAGGTAGAGGGTTGGATTAGATGACCTCTGGAAGCCCCTTCCAGCCCTACTTCTCTATGACACTATGATCACAGCTATGCTCCAGTAGATTGGAGCAGTGGCACCTTTTAACAGCCAAGCAGCTTGTTCTACTGTGAAATAAACTGGTTGGGAACCACCTGGATATGAAAAATCCTGGTTCTGTGGTACTAATCACAATTCACTCCTCAAGTCTGATTTAAAACTGCTGGCTCCAAGCCCTTTGCTTTGAAACACTAGTACTGGTCCATGCAGTGACAAGATAGTTTCCTTAAAGCAAACTACCTCCTTAGAAATAAAGCATTTCAGAAACAACCTAACAAAACAGACTGTATGCACATGTAGCTCTTCCCTCAGCCTTATCTAGGAAGGCCACACATCAAGACTCCCTCCACAGAGTCACTGCTCTGCAATCCTGTCTCCCTAGAAAATTTCCAACAAGTGACCCTTCCCCTCAGAACGGTCTTTAAATCTGTAGCACAATGGTCCTTATGGTCACTTAGCTCCTATTCTGACAAAGCTAGGTTGACACTTCCTTGGAACCCATCATTTCTGATTAAGAACCTGCTCTATCTTCTGCGTGTACTGGCTAATTTGTAGCTTATGTACTGGGTTGCTTTCCTATTTGCCCTTCCAACAGCTACCTACTATTTTAGATCAAAGTAGTTCTATAGGAGTCCAATAACTACTGTATTTTATATATATTAACATATACATCTTGTTATTACTCACAGTATTGATAACTTTAGCCATCATAGACTGTAGCACAGCATTTAATAGGATACTAGCATTAAGGGATTAGCACTGTGCACATGCTGTCAATAAGAGTGGATATTCTCTTGCAGACTGCATAAACTGAGGCAGAGGTTATGGCCATATTTTGGTCGTACAATAAATGGTCTTTTATTGTGGACAATGTGCTATGGTCTTTTTCCAGGGTGCAAAGCAGCTCTCCCCAATACTGAAGAGCTACAGAAACTCAATGCCTGAATCAAGCTCCTCATTGTCAATGCCTGAGTATACCTGCAGTTAAGCCCCTAGGAGTCAGTCAATTTTGGGACTTTCACCATGGTCGCCTATGGAACCTTGAGTAGGAGGGAGTACACTTTCCTTCCTTTACCTTCAAAGTCTCACCCCTTGCTGCTTATATGAGAGGCCTAATCTGACAGCACGCACTAGAAGCCTATAGATGCCAATTTAGCGAGGTTTAAAAGCTCTCCATGGCACCTAGGTGTTCAGCTGAAACACCTACACCCGTTTGTGAATTTAGCTCAGAGTTAGTTTGGTAGAAAACTTTTAGTAATAGAAACATTTGGAATGTGGCACTGTACGAAGGCTCACTTTGTCAGGATCAAGAGGATGCTGCTGGGAACTGAACACACAGAGCATGTCAACACGAGATACTAAACGCACAGTAGTCTAATTCTATTGTGCATTAGCACGGCAGGCAGAAACCATGTTAATGCACAGTAGAATTAGTCTGCTGTGCATTAGCATCACAAAAAAGTGTGCAATGGTGCTACATTGCAGTAATGTTGATTATGGCACATTCATGCACTTACAGACAGCTGTACCCACTGAGCAGCTAATCCTGGTCTCACATCTGACACCAAGGCACAAGTCATTTAATAGAAGCTCTAAAGGCTCCTTAAAGCAACTGTAAAAGGAACAGACATTGAATCATTAAGATGAAATTCTTACATCTGTCGTTCCATAGTAGCCCATACAACACTTATGTCGCAAAAGGAACTTTCAAAACAAGATACACATGAAAGAAATCAATGTTAAGAATTTTTTTTTTTTTTTTACATCAGTAAGACTAGACGGGCCCCAATCCTGAATATGGTAGTTCTGTCCCTTACTTGGAGTGGATGCCAACAGCAGGTTCTACATTATTCCTGAACAGCCAGTGTGCCAGAAGTGTTCCATGTTCTTTCCCTCACTCCTCGCATTTAGTTTGTCAGTCCCTTTTGCATATCAATTGCATGTCATGTTTTACTGCTTTACACTAAACATGCAGTGATAAAAGGAGTGGGATAAATATTCTCAGTTCATACTTTCATATATTTTTGCTGGATCATACATATTTACAAACCCTGCTTTTACAGTCTCATCTGATGAACAGCATATTCTATGAAAACAAGATGCTTCTGGTACATACAATACATGTTCTGTCATTATATCAACTTTGACATCGTAACATAACAAAAGAATGAATGCCATAAGATTAAAAGATTAGTTTCTAGCTTCCAAACAAATTTCCATTGAAAGAAGCAAAAAGTATAAAATATTGCTCAGCGTTCTCAGAAGCCATTTTCAAAGACAAGCTGGAGAGTCAGAATGCAACAGAAGTCATTTTCAAGTAGTTAGTGGTGGGCTAGTTGACACCTTTTACTGAGTACAAAAAAACCCTATTCTTCTGTGGTTCCTGGGGGAGGTTACTCCAAGTAGTGCTGAACTGGATCCTAAGGCAGAAGTCACAACATAACATCTGCAGGAGTAAAACTTAAAATAAGCTGCAGCAAGAACCTGCCATCTACAGCCTTATATACGTAATAAGAAATACAATGTTCATTTTGCATGATTCCTCTTACAGGCTGTTATTAAGTGAACAGTCTAGAACAAAACTAAAAATTGGTGTAAGCTTTAAACTAGTACACTTTCCCTCTTGAGGAATCCAGTCTAAACATAGGTGACATCTGGAAAAGAGTAGACAATATCAATCCCATTCTTCAAGTAAAGCTCTATCTCCAATCTGAAGTTATTAAGATTTAGATTCTTAAAATTGCATTCACACTCTCTTTTAAGCAGCCACTATAAATTTCAAATTATTAGGATGACACATATGGCAAGGAACAGTATATACAGCAAATACAGTATCTTTCGCAAGCAGGATATTGCCATGTTAACATTAGCCTGATTCATTAGGAAGCCCATCTTAGATTGAGTGTACAAACGCTAATAGCTGTCTGTCATTTACTTGACACTAAAAGGGAAAAAAAAATTCAGTGCCCAGATCAGTTGGTTTTAAGTATGGTGGAAGTTGCATGCAAATGCTGCAGTCAGTGTCATAAGGGAGGTTCTCCTGTCTTGATCTTTTTATTTTGTCCATTAGTACCATGCTGTAGCTCTTTTCTTTTCCTCTTCTGCTGCTGCTGTAACCTTTGCTCTTTCTTCTGTAGATAAGTGGTCATGTTATCGAATGAAGCCTTATAGAGAGTGTGGTAGCAGCTGTCTGTACCAACAGAACCTGTGTTGAGGTGGGGAGAGGGACAAAAGAAGAGAAGCTGAGTACTTGGAGTGCTACACCCAATTACAACTAGCACTGGAAGTCTAAAATAGTATTCTTGACTCCTGTACTGCAGCTCTGGCTAACCTATTACTCGACACTGCATTCTGTTTCAATGCAATTGGGTATTTAAAAGTGTTTCTATTGCAGTCACATGTCTGAGATTTCCAAAGACTGGTGCCTCAAATTTAGAGGTTTAAATTGAAAATTAGGTATCAGAGAGTTAACATCTCTCAATTGTAGTATTCTGAACTTGGGTTCCTGTTTTTTAAATTGCTGGTCAGTGTAGTCAACTTTCTAGGAGGCCAGGGGTCACGCACCATGTGGGCTACAACAGGACAAGTGGGCTACAACAGCACGGGTACCCAGGCTGCATGCTGTGTAGATGGCCCTCCTCCCCCTCCCCTGCCCCCCATCTTCCACACACACACGCATACTACACCACAGGATGTATCGCTCTGCCCTCCCACCCCAATCCCTGGGGCGGCGGCTGGAAGCAGAAACTGGAGGAGGGAGGGGAAGCCCAGGCCCCCCTGCTGTTCTGCAGCAGGTGTGAGATGGAGGAGTGGTGGCTCATGGGAGCCACCACCCTGCCAGGGGACACCAGTTGGACAGCCTGATGTAGTCTATTGCTGAGATCCCACTGAAGCATGACTTGCTCCACAATACTCAAAAAACACAGCTTAAGCACCAGTGAGAGTACTGTGCTCAGTTGAATATTCCCTGCATCTTTTTAAGTTCAGGGAATGACAGGCTATTGTAAGCAGGACATGCATCCAATTTCCAGCACTGATCCTTCTAGACTGTGCCACTACCTTGTAAGTCTGTAACAGTACCATCCTTGAAGAGGCTGCGGTTAAGTTTACTGCGCATGACAAATGCTTGCCAATCCTCTAAAAGGCTTGGGCCACAAAGGAGGAAAACTGAGAGGTTTCTATGAGGCGTATAGGAGACAGCTGCCAGGTTCAGCCTCTATTTCCAGAAGCTATTCAGATTGTTAAATGTTTTCATCCTCCATCCTCTTCCTCCCCCCCCCCCCCCCAAAACCCCCCACATTTTAAAAAAAAAATAGTTTG